TTCAGTACTTAAAGGGGGCTTACAGGAAAGACTTTTAGCAGGGTGTGTTGTGACAGGACAAGGGGTGATGGTTTTAAACTAACAGAGGGTAGATTTGGAGTAGATCTAAGGAAGAAATGTTTCACAACGAGGGTGGTGAAACACTGGCACAGGTTGCCCAGAGAGGTGGTAGATGCCCTATCCTGGAAACATTTCATGTCAGATTGGACAAGGCTCTGAGCAACCTGATCTAGTTCAAGATGTCCTTGTTCATAGCAGGGGGGTTGGACTAGATGACCTTCACAGGTTCCTTCCAACCCGAACTATTCTGTGGTTCTGTGACAGTGCTTTCTGTTACATTTGTAGAAGTGGCTGTGCCTGTTCAAAAGCTTTGGGGTAGTTGTTTGCATCTGTTATGACACAGTCTGTGTAATAATCATAGTTATGGTATTTTGACCTGAAGCTGTATGGTATATTAACTTATAAATGTATTCATAATTGTGCATCATTTGATAGGAAGTACTGTACTTAGATGCATTTGTAAAACAAGACAAAGGGAACAACCCCGACTCTCTAAATTATGTAATTTTAGTCAGCTTTTTATACTTGGCATTGGTACTTTTGATTGAGGGGGAGGGGGAACTTCTTGACTGTCACTGTGATGAAGTGGAAACATATGTTTCACCTAGTCTTGCTGAGAATTTGTCGTTAGTTTAATTTATAGAATAACATTAAGACGGTTAAAAAGTACCAACTAAAACATTTCCATTACTTACACTTAAAGAACAGCTTTATGGGTTAATATAAAATATCTATTACGAAAGTAGCATCATAATTCTTTCTTTTAAAATCTTAATATTATGTATGCCATGCACATATTGAAACGTTGGAGAGGTTTGAGAGTGAGCCTCATCTGTGATTGTAGTTGGTCTCTTCTCCCTTTTTCCTCAAAAAGAAAAAAGGCACACAAACACAAGAAACTTTGAATTGCATGAAGAGGGATTAACTAAAGACATTCAGACAATTTTAGTGTGGTGTTCTGACTAGCCATATAAATATCGATTAATGTTATAGCTGGATTGCTAGTTGAATTAATCTAGTAGGATCTTTTATCATAAACCTTGTAGTAGTTCTTTTCTGTTTGCCTTTCTCAGCCTTGGTCTCTCTTCGTTTCAAATATTTGATTTGAGGCCTAAGACTGATTCTTCTCTAGACAGGACACAGCTTTAATTCTGCTGGCCCTGTGCTGCTGTCCAGCTGTTGTTTGTAGATCTTTAGCAGTTGGAGGAAGTGAATGTGTGGAGCCAAGTAGCTTTCATTCCTTTCTGCACTGCTTACTTTGCTGAGTCAATTGTCTGGATAACAGTTCTGGAGCTCCACCACCCGAAAAGCAAAGGCAGGAGTGGGAATAGAACTGCAGAATGGTGACAGAAATGGCAGTGTTCTGCTCGAGAGGCCTGGCTTCTCATCTCGGGTCTTGTTTGTAGAGAAATACATGTAAGGATCAGAGTATGCTCTCTCCTTTAAATGCAGGTGTGATCAAATGGTATTTGTGTGTGTTAAGAGTTAAGTTCACTGCTCTGTGTAGTGGCCTCAATGCTCCCTTCACTTCTCCATGTAATGCCTAGGTTGATTTCCATAGAAGTAATCTGAAAACACTATGTGGGGATAAACTTTATGGTATTAAATTACAACCATTCCTCAGCATTTTTGTCTTTGATTTGCATATTGAAAGATAACCTACACTTTTCAAAGGTTGATTCTGTAGCTCAAGAACATGAGGTGTCTCTTCTGATTGCTGAGGGCGATACTGAGGAAATGCATTTTTAAATGGAAAGAGTGCTTTTGCACATGTGAAAAGCACTTGCTGCAATGGTGTTTCTGTCTTAACTACTGACTCTTGTGTTCATAGGTGATGGAGGCTCTGCTGGTAACTATGGCTATGCCAATAGTGGATACAGTGTTTATGAAGAAGAAAATGAAAGGTTAACAGAAAGTCTGCGTACAAAAGTCAGTGCCATTAAATCAGTAAGTACTTCATTATAGTGGTATCGTGACATTTATTGAATTAAATTATATGGACCAGTGAAGCAGTAGACTTACTTTGAAACATAGATTTAATACAAGAAAGAATTATTGTCAATAAAAATGCACAACCATTCATTTGTATAACTGAGTCTTCCTTCATTCAGATTTTTAGCTAGAGGTGTCCTTTTTTGCTAATCTTGAGGACAGCTGTGGTGTTACTTAAGGCTTACTGTCCTACAGAATTAATTACTGTCCCTCCAGGAACTAGAAAATTTGAGTTTAGGTCAGTAAACTGGCTCTGGTTCATTTAAGAAAATGGACTACTTGTGTTTGGTATTATCATTGTGGCTCATCAGCTTCTGCTGTATCTGCTGATAAATCTGTAATGTAAAAACAGCTGTTAGAAATAGCATGCTAATATACTCTGAAAGAGAAATCTGTTGTTTTAATAATTCCAATCCTTCCAGAAGTTGAGGACTTCTTTCAAGCAAGTCTAACTGAAAGACAGCCCTGTGATTAAAATTGTGTGGGTTTTTTTAAAAAAACCCCACGTTTTAAAACATTTTAAAATGTTATTTTAAAATACAGTTGTAGCAATAGGTGCTGTTTTCTATTTATGTAGTACAAGCCAATGAATTCTTAGGCCTAAACTCATGCAAATTCCTATTACTAATAATATCCTGTTGCTTAAAAGTAATTTGTTTAGTCTCAAATGGAAAGTAAAACTTTAGGTTTAAGTTAAGAAATTATCCACCCAAATAATTTAGAATAAGTTAAGGAGGTAGAAAGAAAAGCTTTGACCTTTGTTATAGAATTTCATTTCTTGTCTCTTTCTCTGGTATGTTATATTTCAAGTCAGTGTCCCAGGGTATGTCTACAGGGTGGTTGATAGTGTCTGATGGAGTAGCACATCTGCTCTTTCTGCAGTTGCATCCTTTAGTGCAATGTAATGATCTTGGAGTATGGAGTAATCTTCAGATAATCTTCCTAGAAGCCTTATGTTTTGCTGTTTACTTGATAGATTGTGGTGAAACGCAGCAGTAAGAAATAATGAGGTTTAAGTTGTGTCATAAAAAACATAAGGGTTTTGGCTAATCCAAAGCATGGGAGCCTGGAGCACATTTCCCTCCCTTCTCTAGGAGTTGATCTGGTTGTTGAAGGCCGGCGTGCTGGTAAGAACTGTTACAGAGGAAGAGCTGCTAAGAAGCCTTAGTGTGGGTTCTCCTCGATTTCACTCAGGAGCTGCTTTTAAGCCACGGGTCTCCTGGCTGGCCCCTGCCTTTGCTATGTTGCAGCTGTGTGGCAGCTCTGTCTGTGCCTGGTTTCACACCTCCCTGATTCCGACCCTAACCCAGCTTGACTTTCTGGCTTGACCTTGGACCTGTCTCATAGCTATGGATGTGCTGGGTGATCACCAGGCTGTTGCTGACCCTGGTTACTATTTCTGGACTGACTTTCACTTGCATTTGCAGCTTGCCTCTTTGTTCTGTTGTGCCCTTGCTATTTCATGACACAAAGCAGAAAACCCCACTTATAGCATAGCAGCAACTTGCAAAAGAGATGCGTTAGCAGGTTACAGGTATCAACTCCAGCATCACTGAGTGAAAAAGAGGGCTCATGGTCCTCTGCGCTGTGCACCAGTAGCTTTAACCAGTTGTTCCAGGAAATGGGTAATTGCTACTCAGGCTTTACTAGATCTTGAATTTTTGAAAGTCCATGCAATAATTCTAATAAGGAATTCTCTGGAAAAAGGGAGGAAGAGCATTGAGTATGTTCTGTGGTTCTTAGACTCATCTAGTCAGCTGACAAGTATTTACTTTCCTAAGGGTTACTGACAGAATACTGTGCATGTTGTTGTTGTGGTTTTTTTAAATACCAAGTACTGTGTTCACATTTTACCTGGAGTGTAATGCATTTTAGACTGGTTTCTCTAATCTATGTATAACTGATTACCCATATTTAATACTACTTTTTTTTTAATAGCTTTCTATTGAAATTGGAACAGAAGTTAAAAACCAAAATAAAATGTTATCAGAAATGGTAAGTACTTAGTCACTAACTTTCTTTAAATATGGGGCAGGGTTAAGAAGTTAGTAATGTAAAGCATTCCTTCATTTAGTATGAACATTTGTATTAAAATGTTGATAGGTTATTGTTGACTGTAAAATGTGACTAATTTAGCAGCAATATTTCTGTTCAAAAAGACAGATGTGCAAATGCATTACTTCCAAGGCACAATCAAGGTCCTTATACTCCAGATATTCAATCAGCAAATGTATAGTAGTGTTAAAAGGCAGTTCTATATTTAACTGTATTTAAGAATAGAAGAGGGAAGCAAAAAACCAAAGAAGTCACAAATACCTTTTTTGCTTAAATTTTGCTTTGGCTTGGAGAAAAAATATCTCTGGATAAATGGGCAAAAGTTTTTCCTGGTTAATTTTCAGAAACGACCTGTGAAATAATTTTAGTTTTGGAAAGTTTGAAACAACAAAATAATATATAAAATATAAAAACCCCTATACTTAGCAAGCATTTAGGGGTAATCTTTTTTCCTCAGAGTAACACGTTTTTTGTTGCTTTGTTTGCTTGTTTGTTTTTGTTTTCCTTAAATGTAGGATAATGATTTTGACTCTACGGGTGGACTTCTAGGTGCAACTATGGGCAGACTGAGAACAATCTCCAGAGGAAGCCAGACAAAGCTATTATGCTACATGATGCTCTTTGCATTGTTTGTTTTTTTTGTAATATACTGGATTATTAAACTGAGGTGATGCATGTTACCTTCAGTTTAAATTGTGTAATTTCAACTGTAAAACAGTCTTAATTAATGAAGACATTGATCTAAGGTGGCATACTCTGTTGATAAAACACAGTGAAATTGCTGAAAATTGCATTAACTATTAATGCGGTTATATACAGTTTTCTTAATGTATCAGAATTTTTCCCATCATCCCCTGTTTTGGGGGGATTATTTGTAAATATGCAGAAACTGCTAGCATAGTAGGTTGCCTTTTTAGGGGAAAATAGTTTTTAGAATTGATTTTAAAAAATACAGAAAACAATGATTATTTGGATATGAAGTAATTGCAGAATTGCAAGGGTTTCTCTTTCATTCTGCTTCTCATTCTGGGCCACGCTCTAAATTAGAGCTCCAGTTTCAGGCATATAGTAATTCTTCTTGCAAAAGCACGAAGAATACTCGGATCTTTCTAAATTGGCTTTATCTGTGGAGTTTTAAAAGTCTGGCCTGAAGCTAACAAATGTAATAGTGGTATCCCCAAAAATTATTTTTACGGATAGGTGTGATAGTGTATGTGTTTAAGTAGCTTAAACTGTGTTTTGGGGAGAAGTTACTTAAAACTGGATTTTTTTTTTTAATTTAAATGTGACAAATCATGCTTTAACATCTATTCTTTTAAGCAAATGCCTTTGATGATTGGGATCAACCAATATGGACACAGTACAAATGTTTTCTTTATATTTAAAGTATCTAAACCTTAATGATTCCATTGAATCACTAGAACTTTTACCATTAGTATGTTTACTTTTCAATCTGTGACGATTCCGAAATCTACACTGCATGATGTCTGAAATACGAGGTCAGATATTTTGAATTTTATATTAAATTACATTATGATGCACCTGTTGGAGGTGCTGTCGTATTAAGGTTTTTTATTTTGAAGACTTAGCTTTGGCTAACCAAATAGTTTCTAATAGTTGAAGCTATTTCATTGCTGAGTTTAACATTAAAAAAATTACGTTTCCTAGATACTGAAATTATATCTACAATTTTTGAAAAACTTTTCTAGAAATACTGTATAATGTGTTGCCATTAGTAACTAATTATGAGCTGACAAATAAAGTGTCCTGTAGTATTCTAGCTAGTGTTGTTTATATACATTCTTTTCTACTGTAGAATACCAGTGTATTTTTTTGAAATGGTGCTGCATTTAGGGGGCTATACTTCTGTGGGGAGCACAACTAAAATAAGAAATGGAGGTGTATGCTACATTCCTTTCATGTTAGATTTCATATATAATAATGGAAGTATGACATGTAAGTCAGTTATCTAATACAAAACACTTTTAAACACAATGTGTTTAAAAGTAATGAGCTCAAATTTTTCTAGTTTATTTAATCTTTGACTGTTAAGAAGTCTTAAAGTACTTATAAGAACATGTAATTACTAACACCAGGGTAATGCATCATCTTTATATGAGAATTGCTAGGCTTGTTAAACAAGTATAGCATTCCCAAAGCTAGTCAATAGGATATAGTTTACTATCCAAAACTGATGCACTTGTATAATTTTAACAAGACAGTTAAAAAGCACCTGAGATGGTAATTACTGACATATCTGTTTGACAACTACACTCCCCTGAGAGTTGACAGTCTTCTAGAAATACATTTCTGGCTCTTAAACATGGTACCTGAACAATTTCTAGACTTTTTTTCATGGTTTTAATGGAAAGTTTTTAACTACCTAATGTAAAGTAGAAAAATGGGTGGATGCAGCTAATTATATGGCAAATACAATTTCTCTCTTTGTCCTGAAGAATATGCTGGTGTGTCCCCTAAGTCCCGACAGAGCACATACTAGTAAAAATCTTTTAGCAGCCCTTCAGATCCTGTATAAAACCAACATGATTTTAATTTTAAATGTCAAACCAGATTAAAAGGTAATTTATGCAGAATAGGAACTAGGTCTTCTTCCTTTCCCCCTGCCCTCAGTTCTTAAGTGGTGCAGAGGAGGGGGGGGGTGAATTAGGGGGGAATCTTAAGGCTCCGTGCAGAGGAGTGGGGGGTGAATTAGGGGGGAATCTTAAGGCTCTGTCTTTCTGTGTTTCTTCATTTAAGGAAGGTTGTCAGTTTTTTTGTTGTTGTCTAGATAGGGCAGGAAATGGGGCGAAAGCTGAAGCACAAGCAGTATATGAAGCCTCCAAACAACTTTCTGCATCTGTATGTTTATGAGAAAACACACAAGGGCTTTTTAAATGAAGTGCTGAAAGAGAGCTCTGTTAGGCTCTTTTAACATGAACATTCTGAACTGTTGTGTAACTGAAAGTTACATGGTCAGAACTGTGACATATTTCTGTATGTTTTCATGTGATTTTTACAGGATATAGCACAATTCCTTTTCTTCAATTCCAGTAAAAGGTGGATTTTCAGTTTAAAATCTGAACTGGAATCCTGCAAGTTTGCTTAGAATGGTTAAGGTGGCTTTATATAAAGGTGAAACTGCTTTGAGAATATTTCACTCAGGGAAGGGGAATGGCAATTGGTGGAAACTGTGCCTTAGAATTTTCCTCTGCATCTGCAGTTGCTTTACTGGTCATTTTCTGCTAGAAAGGTATTAGTCTGACAGGACTTAAAATTCACAAATAGTTGACAGGATTTCAGGATGCTGTAGTATGACCTTGTAGAATTAAATACACCATACAGTGGAGACAGCATTAATTGTAATTTTACAAAGTTGCAGTTAATAGCAGCTATGTAAAAATACTGCAGTTATGATTACTCTTGGTTTTGAAATCTTTTGTACATAACTTTTACACATACTTATATATTGTGTTTCTCAGTTTAATGTAACTTAGACTCTACCTAGCAACCATACAGATTATTTTCAGGTGGAAGGAAATACCATCTTTTAACTATCAAACTGTTAACCTTACAGTATCGTGGAGATTCCTTAGAAAATGTGTAATCAACACATCCATTTGATTACCAGGACAATTCCACTGAAGCTTTTTTTTGGAGTAATACAGGCTGTCTCTTCTAGCTTAAATGGCTTTTTTAGGAAGAGTTTAAGTAATTACACACAATTTTCATATTAGCATGTTTATTTTTAGTATTTTTAATTATTACACACAAAACACGGTACCTTACTGCTGAAGTTCAGACCCCCAAAAGCTTCAGATACAATTAAACAGTTGTTTGTAGAATTCTGCAAATAAAAATCAACCCCCACCACCAAACATCCACGACAGAGCGTAGTACAAGTCCATGTGAACTTGGCAAAGATGACAGAGCTCATCATTGATGATTACTTGCTAAAAGTGAAAAATAGGGAAGGTACTTGTAATTGAGCAGCATTGAGAAGAGTGGAGATGTGTCACTTGCTTGGAAGTGTTTCCATGTATTTGCATATGATGGAAAGCATGGTTTCATCTGTACCACCTCCTATTGACATTAATCTCAAGTCTCTGTAGAAATACAAAGAGTAGGTTTAAACATTTGCATGCTATACTGATGGAGTAAGTACAGAGCTGTACATACCCATTTATTCTAGGCATTTATTATAGATCTACTTTTATTACATTGAAACCCCTTCTTTACAGAAGTACATACATGGTGTGGACAACTGTGTTGTCAGCACCATAAATACCCTTTTTTGTACAGGGATGTTGCTAATTCAAAATCAAAAGGCTTAAGATATAATTTCAAATGTCCAATTTTCAGATTCTTTCAAAAATAGCCTTAAAACTTGGTATAACACTGTATTTTCATCTTGAAATAAATTAAAACCTCTCCTAGCATACAGTTGCCCCTGCTTTAAGACCAGCTAGAGCTCCTGCAGCTGAACTCCATATACAGACTTCTGTTTAGGTCTTACCACTTTGGACTGGCATATAAAGCATCACAGGCTCTTCCCAAGGTTTTCTGATGGACTGCCTGCTCAAATGACCTACACATTACATACTAACACCAGTTGTCTGCAGAACACCTCATCCACTGCCTCCTCCTGGCAAGCTGGTCTGCAGTACTTCCCGCAACATCCCGGCTGTTCCTTTGCCAAAGCTGTAGGTGCCTAAGCCTGCAGTTGAATTTTAGGAGGGGATGGAGCTTTTGGAGGGCCAGCAGCAGAAAGTGTTGCAGCACTTCACTTTGCAGGAAACAGAGTGTTAGCCCACCAGTACATGAGGTATTGGAGAATTGTATGGAGAAGGTACAGTTTTCATTCAATTTTTTTAACCAACAACCAACCTGGTCTCCCTAATGGCTATGTAAGATCTGGCATAATCCGTATTAGTATTATAATATAGTATTACACAGAATCATAGAGTAGTTTGGGTTGGAAGGGACCTTTAAAGGTCATATAGTCCAACGCCCCTGCTATGAGCAGGGACGTCTTCAAGTAGATCAGGTTGCTCAGAGCCCCATCCAACCTGATCTGGAATGTTTCCAGGCATGGGGCATCTAACACCTCTCTGGGTATCCTGTGCCAGTGTTTCACCACCCTCATTGTCAAAAATTTCTTCCTTAGCTGTAGTGGAAATCTACCCTCTTTTATTTTAAAGCCATTACCCCTTGTCCTGTCGCAACAGGCCCTGCTAAAAAGTCTGTCCCCATCTTTCTTATAAGCCCCCTTGAAGTACTGGAAGGCTGCAGTAAGGTCTCCCTGGAGCCTTCTCTTCTCCCGGCTGAACAACCCCAACTCTCTGTCCCCACGGGAGAGGTGTTCCAGCCCTCTGATCATTTCGGTGGCCCTCCTCTGGACCTGCTCCAACAGGTCCATGTCTTTCCTGTGCTGAGGGCTCCAGAGCTGGACGCAGGACTCCAGCTGGGGTCTCGCAAGAGCAGAGTAAAGTATATAAAGCTCCTCTGCTTTAAAAAAGAATGGCTGCTCCAAGCTCACTTACTTTTGATTTGATATTTCTAATCGCACTCATTTAAAACCTGCCATTAATACCACTGAGTCATCCCTAACAGTATTGCCCAAGTTCCCTGTGCTAGCCAGATCGCACACTACTGCAACCTTAAGCAATTACTCTTCTCCTTTGGGAAGAAGAAAAAAAAAAAAAAAACACACACAGAAACAGTTCTGCTAAACTACCTCTACTTAATTCAATAACCTCAGGATACCCCACCTTCCTATGGGCCTTGTTGAAGGCAGCAGAGCTGGAACAATGGTAGGTCACTTGGTCTTCGTGCTGCAGTGCTGTCTGCTTTTTCAAGCTGCAGAAGGCCCCTGACAGCGCTTAGCATCTTGCATCTTCACAGCACTGTAGCAACAGCAAGGAATTAATCCCCAGAACTCCTCTGTGATGCTGATAGAAATCCTCCATTTGCAGCAG